TGCCTACCATACGATTTGAACTTGGGTAGGTTGAGAAAATATTCAAACACACAACCACATTGCTAAACTAGAAAATACGATTTCATTATCACCTTTTTATATTTAAACTACATAATGACGTAAAATCAAGTTAATATATGAAATGAAATTTAATAATTAATTTAATTATAAAAATTAAAATTAATAATTAATTTAAAATAAAAAATAATAATTCGTAATTATTTTTAAAATTAATTGAAATAAAGAATTACAATTAAAATTTATTTAAAACAAATTATTAAATTAACAATGAATTAAAATATTATTAAAGTTACTAATTACTAAAAAAATCTAAAAGAAATTAAAATTTAAATAATAATTTTAAAAATTAAATCTTTTTACTTAAATTAAGAAAATAGTTAATATTACTTTTAATCATTTTTTATAAATCAATGAAATAGTTAAAATTTTAATCATTTTAGTTAAATTATTTAAAATTCGTTGAAAATTTGGAAAAGCCGTTGGAAAATCAGCCGAAAAATTCCGCTAGAAAATTCCATCGGAAAAGCTGTCTCATATTTCTTCTGTTGGAAAACCGTCAGAAAGCAGCTGGAAAATTAATCGCTGGAAAGCTGCCTTAAAATTCTGCCGGTAATCGATGATTTTCATGTAGTGCAAGAGTCTTACAAGCTAGAAATTCTGCCAAATCTACTTTTTGAATATAACCAATTTTTTTTCAGACTAATCCAAATACTATTAGGATATTGCTTTGAGATATCAAGTTTCACTCGGACCCTAGCAATAGATTTAAGGTCTGGTGCCATTACCTGTTACATTATCTATTTGTAAAGGCCATCCGAATAGAGAACCCACCCCATATAATATTCGTAGAGAAAAAAAAGATGCGATCTCAAATCAGAAAAGGAAATCCAAATTGGTAAAACAGAAGATTAATAAGGAGATGAGCCAGACAAAGCATCCTATAGAGAGTTTTTTTTACCAGCAAGAAATCCAGGATTAGTAAGAAAACTGTGATTACCGGCCATGTTCAAAATAAAAGCTCTCAATCTCAAAAATAGCACCAGAAACAAGCATCAGCATATAAAACACAAAAACCTTGCCGACCAAAGGTTGACTAAAGGAAATGAAAACAAGAGATAATTATTAGAGAAACTTTCCTGGGCGGACAAGTGATTTTTCTAAAGAATCACCGTCCAAAACTACTCTAAAGAGAGGAACATGGCAAGAGAGTCGAGAGGATACGAACAGGGACAAACCCTAGCAGAGCACGGCTAGGGTGAATTTGTAGCAGGAAAAACGTCATTTTTATCTATTATATTTATTTTGCTGCGTATTTATATTTAAATCATACTTTAATCTATATTTTATAATATGTATGATATTATGTTTATATTATTTCATCTATTTAACATAATAATAATTATTAAAAGGAATTTTTACATACATACCACTTTATAACATGGGTATTACATATTTAACACCTAAAACTTAAATATTTCATATATGCCACTCGAACACAATTTTTACCTTATAAATGTCACTCCGTTAACAGCCAACCGGACTCCGTTTTATCTTCATTCCCGCCTTGGCTTTCGGCGGGAGAACTCGTTTCATCAAAACCCTCGGTATTTGCTCTTCCTCCTCCGTATTTGCACTTCCACAGTAGCTGTTCCTCCATTCTATTTCTTCCACCATAGCTGCTCTTCCATCCGTATTTACCCAGGTGAATTTTGCTCTGGTTTTTTATTTCCCGCCTGTATACATTGCTCTGCTTTATCGAACATGCTTTTTTTATCCATCGTTTAAGGCTTTACTGAAACTTGTCAGTTTTCTACAATATTTATGGCTTTGCCGAAACTAACAGACCTAAGTTAGGAAACTTGCCGCTTGTGTTGTAATTTTATTCAATAGATGAAACTTTTCGGCAAAGCCATAAATATTGGTTTTATTGAAGATGAAACTTTTCTTCAATAGATGAAGCTTTTCTGCAATAGATGAAACATTTTCCTATATTTATGGCTTTAATGAAAGTTTTGTCATCTATAAAAACAATGGGGGCAAAAAGCTTAGGAAATGGCTGAGTTTAGGATGCAAAGAGAGGAGAATATCTTACCTTCCGGTTGGAAAAAAGCAAAGAACGAGAGGAGTTCGAAACTTAGGAAATGGCTGAGTTTAGGATGCAAAGAGAGGAGGAGATCTTACCTTCCGATGGCAAAAGGCAAAGAAGAGAGGAGTTCGGTGGGAAGAGCCGAAGGAGCAAGCAAGTTAGGGCATTTACTACCGGACTGAGACGGAGTGGCAGACAGAGTGGCATTTCTGAGATAAAAATTGTGTTTGAGTGGTATATATGAAATATTTAAGTTTTAGGTGTTAAATATGTAATACCCATGTTATAAAGTGATATGTATGTAAAAATCCCTTATTAAAAAGGATAATATTTAGTTTACCTAATTTTATTTAACAAAATGAATAATGATTAAAAAAAATTTATCATTAGTTTAACAATAATAGTTTAATTTATTTTATTTAACAAAATGAATAATTATTATAATTAATAATAAATATTTCACAGAAAATTTCAAATTCCATGAGAAATTCGCCGAAAAATTCCATTGGAAAATCCACATAAAAATCAATTGAAAAATCTACTAGAATTTCGATGGAAAATCCGCCGGAAATATTCCATCTGAAATTTTTCGGATTTTCTGATGAATTTATTTCCGCCGGAAATTAGCGTTTTTTTCATGTAGTGAATTGGATTCTTATTTAACTTATTAAACAAAATAGGCATCTATAACTTCTCTAATTTTTATTAAACTGCATTCCTTTTGATCCTTATGCTATGCATAGACGGCTGAAAATAGTATTTTATGGATTATGAAAGGTTTTGTTGATTTATGTTTTTCAATTTTTATTCCAGTAATAGTAGTTACATGCTTATCGAATGAAATGCAAGTTTATTTCTTCAGGATATTTTGTATTTTTATTTGTATTCTTGTAAGATAATAATAATCAAAGTAATTATACCTTTGTTATTTTGTTAAAATTCAAATATAAAATTTGACACGTTTATGGAAAACAAAAATCTGATGCCACAAATGAAAGTGGAGGATTACGGGGAAATTTGTTCTAGCGAAAAATCTCTTATGGTCTTTCTTTCCTCTCTTGGGCCTTTTCCCAGAAGTGCTCAACTTGCTTCTATTACTGATTGTGTCTACTAATGGAAGTAGCTCTCCATTTGAAGAACTTTTATTTGGTCCGGTGAACGTACGCAACTCTACGTTCGGTCGCTAGTAAAATCGCGCAACGTGTTTTCATTATTTACCGCGCGCCCCGACAACCCGACCTGGAACGGACCCAAGATTGCTCGATATTGCTCGGTATTGCTAGGTATTGGTCGATTTTGCTCGGCAATAACCAATACCGAGCAATACCGAGCAAATACCGAGCAAATACCGAGTTGTATGGAGTTGTACCGAGTTTTTTCTAGCAATACCGAGCAAATTCCTAGCAATACCGAGCAAATTTACTGAGTTGTACCGAGTTGTAAAAAAACTCGGTACAACTCGGTATTTGCATGGTATTGGTCTTCAGAGAGCGGTATTTCTCATTTTTGAATAACAATACCTAGCAAATATCGAGCAAATACCGAAAAAATCGCGAACATAGCATTCCCAGGTTCCGCTCCAGGTCAAGTCGTCGGGCCGCGCGATAAAGAGTAAGAGCACATGGCGACATGTTATTGGCGGCCGAACGTAACTCTACGTCCGGTCAGTGGACGTAATAATTGTTCCCATTTGAACTGTCTGAAAAATTTCACCCATTAATTATGAAATGAAGAGGTGCTTCTTTGCTTGAGCTAATTTCTCAAAAGCTTATTCTCTCTCTAAGAATAATATCGCGATAGATGCTTTGATCCACTCATCCTACACCTTTTGTCATCTTTTATGAAAAATATAAATAATTGAATTTTTGTCTTAAGCAGAATAAGCATTTTCCACCTACTTTAGTTTTTTAGTGGCCTTTATTATTTCTTGCAAGACAAATTTGTGGGACCCCTATAGCTATACTCTAGCCGTTGTGTTTCGCTATGCTAAATTTGGGGGCCCTCATTGGATATATTATTCTCTGCAGATACTGGACGACTCGGAGATCAAATAAAATGCGTCACGTCACCCGGTACCAACCGGTACCGAGCACTAATACCGAGCAAAAAAGTGACGAGTCGCATTCTAATTTGTTTCCGAACGCCGTCCGGTGTCCGCACAGAATAATTTTCCCTTCATTGAAAGTATGCATCTAATCTTGTTGAATAATCTTGGATGTTGTTTTCTGTCTTGAATTTTGCAAGAGGTATTTGCTTGGGTTAGCCGATGTGGTTCATGAAATGAAATTTTTGTTGCTCCCAATGGAGTTTTTGGGCATTGGCTCCTTGCCTTCCTTTCTTTTCTTTTGTATATCAAGATTAGGATCTTTAACTCTACATATTTGTATTTCATTCTTTATTGTAGCTCTTTGAGCATTTTGAGTGTTTGTGATCGCTTTAAGGACCATGTAACTCTTTTTTAGGATAAAATAAAATTAATATTTCCTTAAATGAAAAATCTATCACTTCACTCATATTCTCCAACTACAAATGATTTGATTAATATCGGCTAATAAACAGCTTAAAATAGTCTTCATAGATTACGAAAGAATTTGTTTAATTTTCATTTTAAAAAAAAAATTTTGGAGCCGCACAATAGTTATTAATACTTTGCAAGTTTTTATTTTTATTTTTTAAGATAATAGAGACAAAAGTAATTATAAACTATTATTTTTTGTCAAAAAAATATTCGATCTTTCAAATGATTAGAATTATCCTGAATAAAAAGGCGACACTTTCTTTCTAATCAGTACAATTTAATATACAATATTTATATGCGAATCTTATCTTGATTGAATTGTCTCACCATAGGCTACTATATAAGCCGACTATAGTGCGACTCACTCACTCAAATCATTCAAAGCAAGAGCGTTTCTCTCATGGATTCCCTTCTTTTAGCCATCTTCGTCCTCATGGTAATCTACTCATCAATCAAAAGACAAAAGATCAAACATATATGTATTTAGAGGTTGTTTGGTTGACAAAAAAAAATACTATTAAGTTATTTTGATGAGTGCAAAATAAATTTAGATAAATATGCTTTTTTTTTTTCATTTGAAGTATATGGGTGTACTGTAAAGTTTAAATATAGTGTTGGTGGTGGTGACGGGCGGAAGGCGGCCAACAACTGTGAAGGCCGGCGGTGGTGGTCGACAGTCCGACAGTGGTGGCAGTGCCAATGGTGGTCGACGGCGGGTGGTAGCCGGTGGCGGTGGTGGGCTAGAGGCAGGTGGAGCGAGGTGGCTGGCAGTGGTGGCTACATTTACTATACTTTATTATGCATTCCTTCTTCGTCCAATAAAACTTCAAAATGTTCAAAACCCTTGCGTTTAGAAATCATTACACCCATTTGAAATCCCATCAAACAATCCCTTAATCAACTAAGCCAAAAATGTGCTTTTAATTAATTAGCAAACTAGGAAAACAGTTTCATTTCATGCTATTTTTCGTGGATCATGACGATGCATTTATCCAATATATATGTTTTAAGATTTATAGAGGAGGATTATTGGATAAATTAATGTCTAAATATCTCATGAGGCTTTAGTTTCTAAAGTGCATTTTTTTTATTGTTTCAGGTTACAAGTGCTCATGCAGCGATACAGAACGCAACGTCTGCACAAACTTACTGGCGAACTATGCTTCCCCAAACTCCCATCCCTTCCAGCATCCAGGAAGTTCTACGCCAAGGTCATTTCTCTCTCTCTCTCTCTCTCTCTCTCTCTCTCTCTCTCTCTCTCTAAAGATTTTTATAAAGGAATAACATTCAGGTGCCAGATTAACATCAGGTTAGCTTTTTTTATTATTATATACACTTACTCTGAAGATACTGTTCCTTTGTGATTTCAGCGAAGGAAATGAAATCATTTGACATTGAGAGAGCCCCAACTGTTTTCATTAGCTATAAATGCGCAGCTAGCGATGCGCAAATCCACAATGACCCGAACGTTCCGCTCTTCTTCTTAAAAAGCAGCCTCAAATCAGGAACAAAGAAGACTCTCGACCTCACCAAGATCATCTCAACCCCGCCTTTCTTCTCTGCAGAAAGGGCTGAGGCGACGCCCTTCTCCTCCTCAAAACTTTCCGAAATCCTTAACATCTTTAGCATCGAGCGCGACTCGGCTGAGACTGTAGCTATCCAGCGTACGCTGGCAGAGTGTGAGGAGCCACCGCTCGACGGCGAGAGAAAGCGCTGCGTCACGTCAATGGAAGCCATGGTGGACTTCATCAAGGCCGAGCTGAGCAGCAGGGATGTGCATGTCGTTGAGACGACAGTGACAGGCGGAGTGCCGAGGCAGGAATATGTGGTGGGAGTCAAAGGAGCGCGCCGCGTGGTGAGTGTAGAACATTTAAAAAATTAACGGTAATATTTTCTTGATTCAAAAGCTTAAATATGAAGTATTTGTTCATAGAGAGCGGAGGCTTTGGTGTCTTGCCACCCAGAGCCATATCCAAGAGCAGTATATTATTGTCACACGACATCGAACATTGAGGTATATAAGGTGCATTTGGTGGGCGCAAATGGAGTGGCAGTGGACGCTGTGGCGACGTGCCACATTGAGACCTCGACATGGGATCCGAATTACGCAGGCTTCAAGATGCTGAAGGTGAAGCCAGGAACTGAACCCATTTGCCACTTTCTGCCGCTAGGCCACCTTATCTTCGCAGGCCTGTCAAAGAAGGATAGTTTTGCACTCTAACTTGAGCCATCTTTAACATCATTAGTGTTGTCTATGCTAAGGAAGTTCTTCACTGTTTTAAGTGAATGTTGCTAATAAGCTATTATGTGAGTCTTTCTAGTTCGAAGCTGCGAGTTATATGAGTAGTAATATGTGCTCTATGAGAGAAATATGTTTATATACTATGTGATTTAGCTGTTTTTCAATTATGAAAAATATGGGCTCGTTGATCTTCTGTGGGCTAAAATAATGAACGTTTTTTTTGGTGTTAGTAATAAATAGACAATCTGTTTCTAAAACTATGGTTTGTATCTAATAAAATGTTCAATAATAGAAGAGATAAATACAATTTAGAAAAACTGATTGAGATAAAAATGCATATAATATCTAAAAAGAAGCCTCTCTCTAACTTTATTATAAGTCTCCCTACTCTTTTATCCCTGGTTTGGTGAGCCAAGAGGAGAATGGTAGTCTTTGTTGTGCTCCTCCTTTAGAGGAGGTGAAACAGACTTTATTTGAAATGAATGCCTTCTTGTCCCAGGGCACACCACGGCTAACCTAGCCACCCATTATCACATTGAATTTTCCCTTTTTTTTTGTTAAAACTCACATAGGGCTTACTTATTAATATTAAAAAAAAAGATTACAAGTGTTTAGAGGGATCTATACACTCAATAGGTTACGATTAAAAGAGGAAAAAAATCTAACGAGTTATGGATCCCTATCTAAATGCAATAAGAAGAAAAAAAAAGAAAGGCAAAAAAGACAAAACCCAAAAAATTATAGCCTAAGAATGAATGTATCAATTAGCACTCAAATATCATCTGATAAACTGCAAAAATGAAAGAAAAAAGACAACATATAGTAAAAAAGCTATACACATACAAAACAAAGAGGTAAGCTAAGAAACACCCAAGGAAATAACAAGGCAACACCACAACAGCCTACTCCAACCAAAGGCGAAACAACAACCCAACAAGCAGGCAAAAGAAGAACAACCAAAAGCTTAGATGCATGAACCTCCAACAGAAGTAAAAGTATACACATAACCTAACCAATAAAACCCATGAAACGAACATCCACTACAGGAAAATTGTCCATTACCAATAAAATTTCTAACGGATTCCCAACAAAATAATTTCCTGCGTATTTCCGGCAAATAATGATGAAAAAATTTTGATGGATTTTTTAGATGGATTTTTCAATGGAGTACCCAAGGGAAAGGATTAACAATCAACCCAATAAAATAAAACAAACTTTGAAGAACAATATGAGGAGGAAAAACACTCAGATAACAAGAAGGACACCCATCAGAGGCAAATAAACTAGGACTCGTATAGCCTTCAGACCCAAAACTTAAAAAAAAGGACAACCCAACACCGAACAAGAAACTACAAAAATTATGAGTATCAAATGAATCCACAGTGATGCACCAGACAGAACAAAACCAGTAGGATAAAGCAAACCACGAACCCCACCTCATAAGAAAAGGGAAACCCAATTTGAACGATCAGAAAAAACCCCATAGTGGAAACAATAATTAAATAGTCCTTAGGCACCAATGCAAATGCAAAATCCACCTAGTGCCAAAGGCCCAACCAATGCCCCAAAACTAAGCAAGAATCACTAGAAAGCAGACCCGAGATAGCAGGCCAACAGCTAATTGATAATGTAAGGCAACCCCACAGAATCCAACATAATTCTATCTTTCAGAATAGTAGGAGCATTTAACATGCTGAAAGGCACAAAAGTATTTCTTAAAGAGCCTTTTGTATCCAACTACATCACACACGTATTAGTAACCCTTCTAATAATGTAAAATTACTCAGTAAAGCCATAATCTACTAAAACATTTAAAAATTGTTAGCATTAAGGCATTTTTTTGGCATTGATCAAAGAAAGCAATCTTTTAGAATCTGTTTCAATCCATAATTTCTTAATGTTGTTGTCATAGCAAATCCTTAAACCTTTAAACATGCCATACAAATCAACACCTAAAGCATCACAGTTTTGCATATTTGAGGCAAAGCTACTCACCAGCTTGCCATTATGATCATGAGTCAAGCCACCACAATCATAACCAGAACTAAAAGAAGAACCATGAATGTAAAGTTTAAACTCATGAAAAGAAGGCTTAGACCACTTGATAATCATAGGAGGAGAGAACTTATTAGTATTATTAGAATGAAAATTACAGAAAGTAAGCCAATCTTTTCTCCCTCTAAAAGATACTACAAGAAAATAGGTCAATAGCGACCAAAAAATTAGAGACAAAAAAAAATTTGGTCGCTAAAGATATCTTTTAGCGACCAAAAGTAAGCGTGGCCTCTAAATAATAAGGAATCTAGATATTAGCGACCAAAAAGGAAAATTAGTTGCTAATTTTGTCACTAAAAGTCTAGATATTTGTTTTTCACAAATATATACATGTCATCTTAATGACTAATTATTCTATTTAATTGTGTACATAATACATTTTTAAAATATCATTAACATTTTATATAATGATAATTATTCTTAAAGTAAATTTAGTTTAAAGTATGAATGATTTGTTTGTAAAAAAAAAATCAAAATGATGTAATTAATTAATCATTCAATTTCTACAAAATATATTTTGGAGTTTCCTTAAATTCGACCCCTATTTTTTCAGATCCTTGACCGTCGTATGCTTCGTAAATATGTCGAGGGTCCAAGTGGGTATAGCGCCCCTTAACGAGGTTCGACCTGCCTGGTCAGGTCGCTGGGTTAGGCTGCCCCAAAATGATGAATTGAAATTCAAATTAATAAATAAAATGATGAATTGAAATTAATATTTATAATTTTATGATGAGAAATCAAAAAAATTCTTGATGAAATAAATTATAATATATTTTATCTAAATTTTAACAATAACTTATTTAAATAAAAATATACATTAGAAAAACTCAAAACCACTTTCACGCTCATTCACTCTCACGAAACTTCTCTGTTTCGCTATTGATCCTGTTCCCTAGCTACCCCATTTAACAACGATCTCCATGGCTCCAACTGCTCTCAGTTTCGCTATTCGCGACGGACGAACTCCACGTTTAGCGGCAACCACCTCTCTCGCGTGTTAATATGAGTTTCTTCCCTCACAATTCTTCGGACCATCCCCCAAACTCGCCTTCGTATGTTTCTCCCTCTCAGGTTATCCCTAATACCGTTCTTACACTTTTCATTTCAAAATTTCTATGATATTCTTTATACTATGATTTCCTCTCATTTTTATCGTATCATTCAACATTATTGATTTCTATAGTTTCTTTAAGAGGTTAGGGGTTAGGGTTGATTTTGAATGGTTGAGAGGAAAAGATAAAGTGGCTGTTTCTGTGTTGATTTTCACAGTCCACTCACTATTTTGCATTTAGTCTTTTTTTCTTTTTTACTCAGTCCATGTTTTGATTTTCATGTTTTGTTTAATCAGAACTTATGGTGAGAGTTGTATACAAAATAATGAATGTTTTTTCATATTATATGATAGCTATATGCCTGATAGCTTCACATGGTTTGCCTCTAAACTAATTTGTTACCACTATTAATTCCTTAAAGATTTTGTGAGATCGGAAAAGGAATAAAATAAAAAAGGGGTATTTATATACATACCTTAGAATTCATTAGTGAAAAAGAATGCTGGTGTGGTTTTAGGGAGAAGTCCAATAGGTTAGCTTGTGGGGACTCGGAAGTCAAGGATTGAGAGAAGTTATAAAAGAAGATACATGAGAGACAGAAAGAGGCAGAGAATGTGTAAGAGGGAGCACTATTCGACTTCATATTATGGGTGGATATCTCGAATTGGGACTAAAAACATGGGAAATTCACAAGAATCAAAAGAAATAGTCTTTGCGAGATCAGGAAGCAACATATCACATAATAAACACAAACGAACTAACTTTGCATTAACATCCCGATGGAATTCACATCAAATAGTAGATAAAAATAAAAGGTCAAAAGATTTACTTTTTGTGATGTACCACCATGTTGTGTTGGGTGATTAAAGCGATCGATCGTTTAGAACGAAATAAATTATATTCAAATTAGGGAAAGCAAGAACCTTAGGCAATCAAAATAAGAAACAAATAAATTTTATTGAACATGCATTCGAAGGACTACATCCTATTGCATTCGGCGAAGATTAAAATGCTAGAACAATTAGAAGATTTACCTGATGCGCTTGCAATCAATGATCGGCGATGTAGATGCAACGATAGTTGGGTGCTTGCGGCGGTCGACGTTTAGAAGGAAAGAAATCACAATCATAGTTAAAAAATTATAAACTGCAAAGAATTAGGAATCACATTTAAAGGAATACGACGACACAACAAATTTAGGAAAGAAGAAGAAGAAAAAAAAAAAACGGGTGCGAGAATTCCTATTGATCTAGCGCTTGAGATGTATTTTAGCGCCAAATAGTTATGATGCTCTAATAGATATTTTTTTAAGACAAATAAAAATGTCTTGACATAGTTGTAGTTAAAGCTTCATTTTTTTGTAGTGCACACTAGTAACTCTGGAGAGGATACATTAGTTTCTCTCCTTTAAAACCTATCAAACATGCACCTCCGCGAATTAGGCCGGCGGTGGGGATGAGGCTAATCGGTGGCTAGATGAGGGAAACGTTGGACCACGAGCCCAGAGCACCTCCGCGACTGGTGGGTATTGCTTTGCCCACGCCTTGGTTCTTCGCCACTCAAGAACTCACAAGCTCGAGAGAAGAAAATCAGGAATTTTATTAAGGAATCATTAAAAAACCAATACAATGACTATGGCCACTATATATAGGCCTCAACAATGGAGAAAAATCAAAGACACATGCCCTCCGGGCTGCAACTCACTAAACTCCCTTGTAGGAGTACAAAGGTCAACTAAAACAAATAATAAAATAACACTAATACAATAACATAAAAGAATTCATAAATAGATGCTCGTGATCATGGCCGTCAATCTGTGATGTCTCATGTGATAAACACACTGGAATCTTCTACTGATGTCCTCATCACATATATCATCAAAAAGTTATATATATATTCCATAAATTTCAAATTAGCAATAGCATTATCATTAAAGTATCCCTAATACAACCCTAAGTTAGCTATTAATATAGCTCCTTAATACAATTACTAAATTTTACCTAACATAATAAAAAAATAATATAAGTAATTAAATGACCAAAACAACATAAACAATTTATAAAATAACCCCAAGTATGAATGAGATAAATATAAAGGAGTAAAAATGACTCCGAATGATAAAAATAAATAACACTATAACAATGAAAAGGTGAACGCATATAGTTCATGGTGTATATCCTTCGTAATCTATAAGCTGCATATTTTGTGTATATCCTTCGTAATCTTACATATAGTTTTATATGTCAATTTTTTTCATTTGATCAGTATAACATAATGCCATTAAATTTGATGAATTTCAAGAAAGGTGGAATTTTGGAGTTTTTTTAAATTGAGCCAAATTTGGCACATAACTGGGCAAATTTGGGTTTTATATAAATCATGGTGAAGTCTTATATTGGTTACATGCTTAACGTTGTCACGTTTTCTTGTTTTTTATTAATAATTTTCTTTCCATTGTTGCTTAGCTTCAGGATGTTGAATTGGTTGGACTTTGAGTGGATGAAACTATCATTGAAGATAACCTGATTTTGGATTTTTTATTCCTGGCTTACTATGATAATTTTTGTGTCTGCAATGTTGTGCAATGGATGAGCTTATGCCCGTTATTCAAGGTCAGCCTATGATGATTTTTTTTTGTAGTCTTTTGTATTATCCTACATACCATGTTGTTTTGTTACGTTATTTCTTAAACCACATAATTGTGTTAAATTGGGGGATATACTAGGAGGTGCTTATAACATTGAAAACTTGGTTGTTTCAGTCGAATCGAGAGCTTCATTCTCTCATGCTAAAGCTCAGCTCCTCATTCTTATTGAAACTTTATATCTGGAAAATCTTCTTCGCATGGTTCATGATGAAGTGTCTATTAGGTCAGTATCAACTATATTTTTGTTCTGTGTACTGCTCTCGTGGTGAACTTTTTGGTAATTGCCTACAAAATTTGTAATTTGTTTGTTAATTATTTTTTTATTTCTTTTTTTTCCCCCTCACATGTTGTTATCAGTGAAGGTGGTTTTATCTTTCCATGCAAGATGTTCGGGAAATGGATTTTCTCGTTTCCACCTAAACTTGTTTGGGAACGTCTGAAGCTGGGCCTTTGTTTCTTACGTTGGTAGTTTTCATCTGTTTTCTATCATCACTTCCCGATATAAAAAATGAAAGCATTCTCAATGTCAGTTTTTTTTCATTATTATCTCAATATATGATCTATGCTGCCAAAGAGTTATGGTCTTAGTATGGTGTCTTGTAATTCACTTCCTCTTTTTGGATGCCGAGATCTGGTTTGTTTAAGACTTAAAATTGGTAGTTTATTTATTTTTTCTACTAACCTTGTAGCCACATTTCAACTGAACAGAAGAGTGACTAAACTTATGGATTCAGATGATTTAGTGTTTTCTGTCTTTCTTAATTTATTGTCGTTTTGCATTTCCTTTGTTTAAGAAGTGGCATATATTATATACTCATTTAGTTGTTGTTATTATATGAATTTTTCATGCTATGCTAATGTTTATCCATTGAGTTGAAGAACTTTACGATCACTCAAGGGATACCTCATGAGAAGATTTTATATTTATGTTTTTGGCAGGGTCCCATTTCTGGTTTTTTGAACATTTTGAGAACATTTGTCTCTGAATTTATAGCTTCCTATGAACTTAATCATCTGGTAACTGTTATTTGATCCATGAAATGATAGAGCCTTCTTCTTGCTTCATATTAAATAATATGAGCATTTTATACACATTAAACTTTTATCTCCCCCTTTTGTGGTTGTTTATACCAGTTAGATAAGTTCTCGGTGATCCTAACGAGCCCTTTAATTATTTTCTATTCAATATTTCAATGCATTTGAAAGCCGCAATAGCTTTCTAACTAGTCCAACTCTATTTCTACAGCTAGAAGAAAACATACTGAGGTTGATTTTGGAAATACTTTGTGAAATTTTCAAGGGGGAGGTTTGAAGATTACCAATGTTGGTTCAAATAGACATATCAATGCATTACGGTCTTTTTTTCGGTTTTCGAATATTTTGAATTGTTTTGTTCAGTTTTGTAAACTTGTATGTCTTCGTTATTCTTGGTATTTCATGTAATACCTTTCCAACATGATCATTTCTATTCCTGCATGGTTTAATATTTGTAAATTTTTTATGGAGTAAGAATCAAAGGTGGGACCATTTGGTATATTTGGAAGTTTTCTATAAATTGTATTATTTGATTATTGTTCTATACCATAATTGAATTGACTCGATCATACTTTAGGTGACATTTCTTCATAAAGGATTTGATGAAACACGCCGTCTTGGACTTAGTAGTGAAACTGAGAAGGTATAGAGTTGTCTTATCCCTATTATGCTGATGCAACTTTTAGTGCTTGAAATATGAATCTAATAATTCTTATACAAATGACATTGCAGATCACCTTTCGTGAATGTTCACTTCATATGTGCTTACGCACCACTCTTTCATTGGCTAATAACAAGCAGGTCGTGAGAAATGTGTCCTCTCTTGGTGAGACAGGAATGCTGGTTGTTGATTCCGTGGTAAGTAGAAGATATTTGATTTAATTGTGTTTGTTTAATGCTTTTTATAGATATTCTCGGTCTACTACATATTCTTCTACAATGAGATATATTGTAGGTGCCGGGTGGCCCTGCATACAAAAAATTGGAGCCTGGTGATATTCTGATTTGCATAAATGGGGAGGTGAGGCTTCTTGTATTGAGTTGTATTGTAGTCTTCAAACTATCTTTTGAGATTTCATATTTATTGCATGTAGCATCAATAGTTTCCATTGTATATGTTTAAACAGGCAGGTCTTGGAACTTCATGTAGGTATATTATGCTTGCATTCATAGCACATCATCTAATGTTCTTTTTTTTCCTCATCATTGGAAAACATCTATATCCTTGATTCCTTTACCTTTTGTATAGTATAAATTATATATTCATCTTTGCCGTACTAATTTTACTTTGAAGGTCTGCATACTTTCAGTGTGAATTTGAAGGCAATCATTTCCTTGTTGAGCTATTTGCTTCAAGCTCAAGATTTCCCTTTTGCTTTAAACAATAAGCTTATGCTCCTTATGGTTAAAACAGAACAAAGTCAACGCATGCCCTGAATTATATACAAAAGTTTAATTGTACATGCACTAGCTATGCAAAGGATTCTAGCTTCTGGTCGATGTAGGATTACAATGAAGAGCCAAGGATTCTGGCCTCCCATCATTTGATCTCATTGGACCATCAAGGAGCCGGTAAGCAAACAGGCCAGACTTAATTTCCATCTCTTTATCCATTTGACCACATGAAAATCATATTTGTTCATTTTCTTATTCATTAACTCGGTCTCTTCTGGAGTTCAAAGGCCATCTTCTCTTTATAAATCAGTTCAATTTCCATAACTTACAAGCAAGCACAGAGCAGAGTAGCAAAAATGAGCCAGCTTTCTGTTGTTGTCAGCGGCTCAGACGGGTCAGAATTGATAGCCTTGAGTGAAGAAGAAGAAGCTCTTGTGTTTAAATTGTGGAACACAATGAAGAAGGATGTAGCTATGCTTGGTCTCAAGTTCTTCTTAAGGTAAGATGTGAAACTTTTCATCTTCAAGAGCTGTTTTACTGAACTTCACAACATGTATTAATTTTCAGGATATTTGAGATTGCACCCTTGGCTGCAAAGCTCTTCTCCTTCCTGCGAGACTCATAGATTCCACTTGACCCCAAGTTCAAAGGCCATGCAATGTCTGTGCTCATCATGGTAGTTTGCTAACACCCCCAATCATCTTCCTCACTCGTGCAGAGTTCATGACCATTGTTGTTTTATTAACATAATTGCTGTGATTACACAACTTTTTTTTTACAGATATTATTAGATGTTATCATTTTGTAAACATTAAGATTTTATGATTAATGATGTCCGAGATTATATTTTTTGTATTAATTGATGGATGTATTTGTAAAAGTATATGAATGAATACAATTTTTATTTCTCCTAGCAAATTCTTAACAATGATACTCATGAATAAATATAATTTTTTTGACTCTAAGCTTTTTATTATTATTGACTCAAGCTAATAAAATTTGTATTATTTCTCTATTATGTAATTTATTTAATTAATTGCAATATAAAGAAGTGATGGATTGATCTTTATTGTTATAGCCAATGCATAACAAATGGATAATTATTTTATTTATTAAATATCACAAATTTTATATGCATAAATATATATCAACACTTAATGAAATTAAAATGGCATGTGATTTTTTTTGTTGATCATTTTGCGACCAATTTTTATTTTGGTCGCTATAGGAAAAATATAATAAATAAAATTAATTATTAAAATTATTAAATAGCATCCAAATAAATATTCATTAGCGTCCAGAAAAATGGTCGCTAATATGTTAAATTTTAGTGACCAATACTAATTAGTGGTCGCTAATTTAGCGACCTAAAAAATTTTTTGGTCGCTAAAAACCTCAGCGACGAGGCTACTGCGACAAATTAGCGACCCAAATATTTTTTGTCGCTATTTGCTTTAGAGACCAAATTAACTTTTTTAGCGACCAATTTTGTTGGTCGCTAATTACCTATTTTCTTGTAGTTAGACTTGAAAGTTAACAAACCAACCTTGAATAGGTGTTGAATTTTGAATGAAAAGAACATAAAATCCTTTGAGGCACATTTTAATACCATTGAGTTATCTCTTATTCCTTTCATCTAAAGAAGCCAGAAGAGTAGTAAGGGGATGATAGTGAAAATATACCTTTTAACTTTTTTATAAAATGAAATATCTTAGAAAGAGATAATAATCTTATTATTAAAACCAATTTTAAATTGCAAGCCTTTCTCTAAACCAATCCAAACTTTGGCAGCAAAAGGACTATTTAAAAAGACACGGCTAATAGTTTCAACATGATATCATCATTGACACTTAGTAACCAAACAAAAACCTTTTTTTTATAACCTGTTATCAACAATAATATAACCTTTTTAAATTCTCCAAGGTAGCATAAAAGAGTTAAAGGAGTACATGAATTTTAGATTTAACCAAAAGTAGGGGTAGCATCTTTTTTGTTTCTAAATAAGTGCAAAACTTTATCAAGACTAAACTTGCCATCCTCAGAAAATTTAAACATAATTTGCTCATTATAATTACTTTAGGGTGTCAATTTATGACCCATTTTGAAAACCCAACCCAAATCCGACTCAAATTGACTAAAATAATCTAGCTTTGGGTCAATCGATTTAAAAAATAGGCCAGGTTTAGATTATCATTTCCAATCCATTTCAAAAATAGGCCCGGGTCTGGGTCAACCTGCTAACCCAAAAATAACTTGGATTAACTTACAATCATGGTATCTAGTTGGCTAGATGGACCCGCGCCCAGCTTGCGCCCCGTGCTTACACAGTGTGTGGCATGCCCAGCTCAAATCTGCACACATACCACTTGAGGCACCCCTATGTCCTGGCCTAAGTACGCCACGTCATGCCCTCGCAACTCGCATGTCCCACTTACACTATCTCCGCATCCCACCAGTGATGCTTACACCAATCACATTGCTGCATAGCATCGGGCAGAGCCCAGTGGCCCCACCCCGCTCTGCCTCTACTATCATGCAAATGGTGATGTGCTTCATCCACGCTAGTGTTGGGTCAGCCTGCGTTTGGGGCGCGTAGGGTCAAGGTTCAAATTTTTGACCTATTTGTGCAATTTGGTTAGGTTTGGGCTGAATGAATTAAGAGCATGACAATTTTGGGTTGGACCCAAACTCGACCCAGAAACCCACTTTGCAACCCTACAATTCCTGTTAATGAGAATTTCACATAGGTTATCCACCAAGCTTTGAGGAATAAATTCTATAAGATAATTATTAGACCGAATATCATTATTGATGAATAAAAACACTTTCAATGAGGTGGTAGAATGAGTGTTGAATTATGAATCTAAAGCCCTAACATCAAACCAGTCCTATTGCCAAAAGAAGGAGGAGCCATTGCAAATTCTCTATTGAATGATTGATTCAGTAGACTGTTTAATATTGCATATTCTTTTCCACATAGAAGACTTCTCTTGCTTAAACAATAAGTGGTTAGATGCATATTCTTATAATATTTCTTATTTATGAATTTGGTCCAAAGAGAATCAATTTTCGTGGGGTTACACCATAACTTGAAGTAGAAAGCTTTATTTAAATAGTAAATAGAATTAAAACTCAAATCTTCCCTCCAAAAAAGGACCAATAAAAGCACCCAAATTGGACCATTACAACTTTTAATAATTATTAGTGGAGACCTCAAAAAATTATTAGTAGTTCTCTCCAATCTATCACAAACACCAAAGATAGGATTAATGGTTTAAAGGAGAAAAATGAGCATAAAGCACAAAACACTCTTTATAAGAATAAGTTTTGTCCCCATAGAAATTTTTTTTAATTGCCTAGTAGACAGCTTTGTGTTAATAGCAGAAAACATGTTATCAAATAAAAGAGATTTCTTATGACCTTTACACAAAGGAGTCCCAAGGTAAAAAATAAGAAGAAACTGAAAACAAAAATTTTTATGAGATTTAATATTATTTTAATGAATCAGAGACATACCTTTACCACAAATAAAATAACATTTACTATTATTAAAATTAAGGTCACTTTCCCTTTCAAAGATAGTATGGAACTTCTTGGCATTCTAAACACATTTAATAAAACCATTGCAAAACATAATAATATCATTAGCAAAACAAATATGAGAAATATCAATACCACCAGAATTCTAATAGGAAAAGCTTTTGTGTATTAAAAAAAAATTGTGTTAAACCTTTACATAGATAGTGAGCAATAATAATGTAAAGAGTAGAGGATAAATGTGCACCTTTGAAAAAGTTATGAGACTTACCATTAATAATGATGGAGAACCAACAATTCTCAATAATACTTTTAAAGAGATTAATAGAATTAACATAAAAAATATTTTTCATAATATTAAACAACAAAGTTCAATTAATGTTATCTTAAGCCTTGGAGATATCAAGCTTAATGATTAAATTATACCCATGGACTTTTTTTGGTTAATTTCATGAAGTAATTCATGAGCAAGTTGAATTTTATCAGTAATGCTCCTACCAGTGGCAAACCCAATTTGATTTAAGGATATGATTTTATGGAGTAACATAGATAACATAGAAGCCAAATTTTTTGCTAAAAGTTTATTAAAGGTGGTGCAAAGACTAATAGGTTTATAATCATTCCAGGATATATGATTAATCTTTTTAGGGATCAATATAATGGAAGTACAAGTAAAAATTTTTGGAATAGATTAACCTTTAAAAAAATAGTCACAACTTTGCATGGGTATTCCTTAATAATATTCTAATAGCTTTGAAAAAAAGGCTGTAGTAAAACCATCAGGACCAGTCACAAAATCCTATTTAATGCTCATCAAAGAATTTAAAATCTCAAGCTCATCAAGAATAAATAAAAAAAAAATACAATTTTTCTCAAGAGAAATATAAAATGGAATAACATGTGGATTAAGGATAGGCACAACCTGATTAGAAGAAAAATGATATTTTTTAAAAAGTTAATAATAGATTTAAAGATTAAATATTGATCATTACACGAGTCATCTGACTCCAATTTGATCATATTAATGAAAGATTTAGCTTTCTTAGAATTAGCCACAACTTGAAAATATTGTGTTTATATCACCTTCCAAAATGT